TGACCATCTATCGCCCAGTCTCTCTCTCTATGACCCTCTATCTCCCAGTCTCTCTCTCTCTATGACCACGTCCACGTCCCCTGCTCTCCCCAAGACATACAATTCCTTTTCATTTCCATTACCCAAAATATGACTCAATAATCATTGCAACACAATTCTCTACCAGCCATAAATCCCAACACTCCCAAACAGTCCCCAATGGATACAATAGTTTTAAAATACTTCAAACAGTCAACATGTTATTCCTGCAATCCCCCAATATGCTAACAAGGCCCCCAATATCCTGCAGTCCATATAGTTACCATTCTCCTGAATATCCACTTTTGTCTTCACTGTTCCCCTCTCTTGTCAAGTGGTGCCCACCACTCTTTGTAGACCAGATTTTTCTGCAATAATCACGACCTTGGTACCCCTTTGAAAATCACTCAACCACTGTAATGCACCCACCCCGTTTCACTCTCCACCATTATCATTTACTAACCTTCCCAGTTTCAAGGGCCTCGTGCAATGCCCTCTCCTTCACCTCTGCTACTGACCCCACTGTATCCCACTGCAATGCCTCCCACTCCATGTAGTTCTCCATACCCAAGTGCCCGATACTCACCAGTCAGTATGGGGTTCGTCTATGACCAGCAGTAATTTGGACCCACGGGTCCCTGGTCCACCCATGGTGGCTGTGGATACCTGCTCACTGAGGGCGGCAGTAGTCTGTTTCACAGCATTAGACAAAGATGAGAAGAAGCCCCCACCACCCCCTGCACTGGGCTCTGGTGAAACAGCTGGGGGGCCCGGAGAGGCAGCAGGTGGAGCGGGGGTCTCTGGTCGCTGCAGGTCACTCATGTACCCATTGGGCAGATTGGCCATAAAGTTACTGTCTGACAGACGGCGCCGCAGGTAATTCATCATGAGTTGCCGGTTAAGTCTAGGATGGAGAACAAGGATATAGAGCCCTGAAAATTGGAGAGCCCAGGGATGGAGCCCTGAGAATTGGGGAGCCCAGGGATGGAGCCCTGAGAATTGGGGAGCCCAGGGATGGAGCCCTGAGAATTGGTGAGCCCAGTGATTGAGTCCTGAGAATTGGGGAGCCCAGGGATTGAACCCTTAGGCTTGGGGAGCCTAGAGATTGAGCCCTTGGACTTGGTGAGGGATAGACCCCTGAGAATTAGGGATCCAAGGAATACAGCCCTGTAATTTGGGGAGCCCAGGGAAGAAGCTCTCAGTTTTGGGGAGCTCAAGGATGGAGCTTTCAGTTTTGGGGAACCCAGTGATGGAGCTCTCAATTTTGGGGAGTCCAGGGATGAAGCGCTCAGATTTGGGGTGCCCGGGGATGGAGCTCTCAGATTTGGGGAGCCCTGGGTTGGAACTCTCAGATTTGGGGAGCCCTGGGATGGAGCTCAGGAATGGAGCACTTGGATTTGGGGTGCCCAGGGATGGAGCTCTCGATTTAGAGGAGCCCGGGGATGGAGCTCTCGGATTTGGGGAGCCCTGATATGGAGCTCTCAGTTTTGGGGAGCCCTGGGATGGAGCTCTCGGTTTGGGGGAGACCTGGGATGGAGCTCTCGGTTTGGGGGAGCCCTGGGATGGAGCTCTCAGATTTGGGGAGCCCTGGGATGGAGCTCTTGGTTTGGGGGAGCCCTGGGATGGAGCTCTCTGTATGGGGGAGCCCTGGGATGGAGCTCTCAGATTTGGGGAGCTCAGTGATGGAGCTCTCAGATTTTGGGAGCTCAGTGATGGAGCTCTCAGATTTGGAGAGCTCAGTGATGGAGCTCTCAGATTTGGGGAGCTCAGTGATGGAGCTCTCAGATTTGGGGGAGCCCTGGGATGGAGCTCTCGGTTTGGGGGAGCTCAGTGATGGAGCTCTCAGATTTGGGGGAGCCCTGGGATGGAGCTCTCGGTTTGGGGGAGCCTGGGATGGAGCTCTCGGTTTTGGGGAGCCTGGGATGGGACTCTCGGTTTGGGGGAGCCCTGGGATGGAGCTCTCGGTTTGGGGGAGCCCTGGGGTGGAGCTCTCGGTTTGGGGGAGCCCTGGGATGGAGCTCTCGGGTTTGGGGGAGCCCTGGGATGGAGCTCTCGGTTTGGGGGAGCCCTGGTATGGAGCTCTCAGATTTGGAGAGCTCAGTGATGGAGCTCTCAGATTTGGGGGAGCCCTGGGATGGAGCTCTCAGATGTGGGGGAGCCCTGGGATGGAGCTCTCGGTTTGGGGGAGCCCTGGGATGGAGCTCTCGGTTGGTGGAGCCCTGGGATGGAACTCTCGGTTTGGGGGAGCCCTGGGATGGAGCTCTCGGTTTGGGGGAGCCCTGGGATGGAGCTCTCGGTTTGGGGGAGCCCTGGGATGGAGCTCTCGGTTTGGGGGAGCCCTGGGATGGAACTCTCGGTTTGGGGGAGCCCTGGGATGGAGCTCTCGGTTTGGGGGAGCCCTGGGATGGAGCTCTCGGTCTCGGGGAGCCCTGGGATGGAGCCGGTAGGGGTGTGGGGGCCGGGGATCAGGCGGCGGGGGCCGGTTTGGACAGGGGGAAGCTCGGACTGGCCGGGGCTGCTCCCAATCTGTCTCCTCGGCGACCGAGCACGAAGAGCATCCTCTCCTCCCCCTCTCACTTGGTACGCCCTGCGGTATACTGCCCCCCCGCGCACAAAGTGAGACGCTCCACACTAACAGGCGGCTGCCGGGAGCTGGGAGAGTCCAAGCGTGAAATGGGGGAGCAGGGCGGAGATGGTGCATCACCTGCATCCCGTGTCTTGTCATCTCAGTGATGCGCAGAATGGTTCAGTCCGGTACCCAGTGGAGGAGGGGAGAATGGAGACAGATACAGAGAGACAGGGAGACAGGGGGAGAGAGAGAGAGACAGAGAGAGAGAGAGACAGGGAGAGAGAGACAGATACAGAGAGAGAGAGACAGGGAGAGAGAGAGAGACAGAGAGAGACAGATACAGAGAGAGAGAGACAG